CCTGCCGCCCCCAGCCCCCGCGCCGCCGATGCTGCCGGCGCGCCACCCTCCTGGCGCCCCTCTGGCGATCCTGGTAGCCGCGTCTGGTCTCCTCTGACCGTCTCGTGTGTGCCCTGTTGTAGCACCCCTTCGCCCCCACTCTGCACCTTCAAACGAGCTCTGTTCTCCAGGACTGGCCGGCCTAATGGGCTGTGTGGCGCGTTACCTGTTGGCCAGTGCGGAGCATGCAGTCCTCCTTGAGGATGGTAGCGGTAATCTTAGAACTAGTAGGACAAACCGAAAAATACTCTTCAGAAATGCCGCAGGATTTAATGCTTCCTCAGGAAGGCCCTGCAGGGCTTGAGCTGCACGTTTTTCCACTTCCACAGAAACAATAAGTCTAGTAATGCATGTGAGACCTTGGCTTCCTTTTACATCAACCCAATTTCCAGAAAAACTTGAATTGCAGATACAAAGAGATTTAAAAGTCAAAATAACATAGAGAATTTCTGTTTTTAAGCGAGTAAAATGACACACACACAAGCCCAAGCGAACAAAAAACACGAATAAACCCTCAGCTAGAGTTACAAAGGCATGCACTATGAACAAAATTTCCTTAACATCAGATCTTGAAAAGCTCTTGGCAAGATTGGTGGAAAGGCCGCTAGGTAAAATTACATTTTAGATAACAGAGGTTTCCTCTCAGAAAATAACAACTTTGAAGTCAGAGTTTCTAATCTGGCACCGTTAACATTTGACATTGACAATATTTTGGGGGCTGGCTCTCTGGAGCATCTGTAGGGTGTTTAGCAACATCCCTGGTCTCATTAGATGCCAGTAGCACCCGAATGCTCCCTAATATTTTCAGACATTGCCAAATATCTCCCAGGGGCAAATATGTCTCCAGTGGAGAACCACTGCTTTCACATAATACTAAAATCATCCTTTTTTGTCTTCACTGCCCAGTTATTTAAAGCTGCTGAAAGTAGGCTTCTCATCAAATTTTGATGGGCTCTGAACCCACCGGACCAACAAGATATTTTTGCAGATATTACTCCATAGCAAGGTCTTCCATTTGCAGATATGCAAATGTGCTAGTAAGAGAAAGGTAATTTTTTAGGCTGAATGACTGATTGGAAAAGGGTGCCTATTCTGAGTGGACTGATTATGAAAATATTCCTCTCACAGCCCCACCTCAGGGCAGATTTGAAATTGGAAAATGATATGAAATTCAGGGCCCCTCAGTAAAGCACCTTTGTGTCTGCAGTGTTTCATGATCGACAGCCCTGAATCAACATACTTCGTTTCATTCTTAGATTTTTTTTTTTTAAGATTTATTTATTTGTGCATACAGAACTGGAGTACAGGCCAGAGGTGCAGGGTCAGTGAGAGGATTCAACAGAGACAAAGTGGGGAGCATAAAAGGCAGGCTGATGAAGTACAATGCTGAGGGGAGCTGCCAGGGGTCAGGAGAGGTATGCTGGGTCAGGAGAGGTATGCTGCACCATGTGGTCACCTCCTGGACAGGCGGGGTATGGAACTCATGCAGAAGTGTCTTAAGCTTCTTAGTGCTGTGCTTTAACCCACTACACCACCAGGGAGGGCCCACTCTAAGATTTTTAAAGAGATTTCTGACTTTGAGTAAAAAAAACAGTTTGAATATCTGCTATGCTAACTGGGATTGGCTTTTGACCACTTACTTTAATAGAGCCCTCTTATAGTAAGAATAATATTACTAAAGTAGATATTAACAGGCATATTCGCATTTAGTGAGTACCTACTTTGTGTAAAGCAGTGCATCACTGTGCTAGAAAAGACCATCCATGTACATTTCCCTGTTAGCTTACTATTGTCATTATTAGAATAAGTTTCATAAATGATATTGGAAAGAGTAAAACATTCGAACCCATAAATATTCTAATACAGGAAATAACTATCCTAATTAGGAAAAATATTATTATGATTAAAATGTTCAAATTTTCTCACATAGAATTCTTAGAAAAATTACTAAAGACTTGCTTTCAATTTTAAAATTCCAACTAATTCACGAAACATACACTGATGGTCTTTTCTAGCACAGTGAAGCACTGCTTGAAACAAAGTGGGTACTCACTAAATGAATATGCCAGTTGCTATCTACTTTAGTAATATTACTCTTACTACTACAGTAAGTGGTCAAAAGCCAATCACCATTTATGTTCAGACTCCTTTCTAATTTTCCTCATTCCCCAGGTCTCTAAACAAATACTTGAGTACCTCTGGGCTCAGTCCTTATACCTCTTCTCTGATATCCATGACTTTACCATTTATATAGTCCTTTGCATGGACCTAAAGCATGTAGCAGTGGAAGCAGAGGAAGAAGGGTCAAAACTGGGAAGGAGGCCCTCGCTGGGGGCGCAGCGGGTAAAAGCACAGCACTAAGAAGCTTAAGCCACTGGCACATGAGTTCGATTCCCGCCTGCCCCGGAGGAGATCCACATGGCGGCAGACCTCTCCTGACCCGCCCGCTGCTCCCCTCAGCAGTGTACTTAGTCGATCTGCCTATTCTGCTCCCCACTCTGTCTCCGGTGAAGCCTCTCACCCCCCCTGAGCCTCTGGCCTGAACCCCAGTTCTGTATGCATAAATAAATAACTCTTTAAAAAAACTGGGGAGGAAAGAGCACAGGGGATTGTGGTGATGGATCACAGGATGCAATGGTAGTGGGAGAACTACAGAGACTACACCTTACGGGAACATCAAATGATGTCCAAAAGTTAATGACATATGAAAATAAATATAGGGGCCTCCCTGGTGGAGCAAAGGGTTAAGTCTCAGCACTTTCAAGCTGCTGGCATCTGCTGCACCATAAGTTAAATCCCTGGCCAGAAAGCTAACCCACATATGGCGCAGCAGACTCTCCTGTCTTGACTGCTGCTCCCCTCAGCAGTATATTTCAGTCAATCCACCTATTCTGCTGGTCTCTGGTGATTCTTCTCACCACCCCTATCCTCCCACCTCTAGCTTACCCCGAGTTCTTGTATGCAAAACTAAGTAAAATAGATATTTTTTAAAAAGAAATGAATATAAAATATATAGGTATACAGTCCCTTGACTTTAAAATGATATCATCCAAGACTCACTCTAAATGCTAGGCTTCACACAAATGTCTGTCCAACATTTCCACTTTTATATCTCATACATACCTTACATTTTGTATGATTATATCCATTGCCCTATTCTCTCTTCCCCCTAATAATCAAAACTGCATGGTACTGGAATAAGAACAGACATACAGACCAGTGGATTCGAATAGAAAACCCAGATATAAACCTACACGTTTATGGACACCTAATTTTTGACAAAGGAGCAAAGAAGGTGCAATTGAACAAAGAAAATCTGTTCAGCAAGTGGTGCTGGGAAAACTGGGAAGCTACATGCAAAAAAATGAAACTAGATCGCTGCCTCACTCCAGTCACAAAAATCAACTCGAAG